CCCAAGTACCCAGTTCCCTAATTTTCCTATGAACACTTATTATTAAAAACACTTTCATAAAATTCTGCAAAACATTCGTTGTAACAACATTCTTTGACATGCGCAGGTCATTTTACATTTAGGTTAATGTAGAGTTTTCATCTTGTTCTGATTCACTTACTGTACGATATACGAAGACTCTGAGCTGTTTGCCTCCAATGGTCTCAAGTTTTTGTCCATTGTAAAGCTCATTAAGGCCAACTTTTACTTTCAATATGTGATTCTGAAGAATTAATTTAAGAAGGCGCTGATCCATGCTTAGAGTATCATCTATAAATAAATTCATTAAGAAAGAGCATTATTTTATGAAGAAAATACTAAAGTTTCTCCTGACGAGAGAAAAATCATGAAAATGGATAATCCCTGACACTATTGATATTTATGGATCTTACAGTCATAGAATATACGAGTCAAGTAAGTGCCCAAGACTAGCAATTCAATCACCAAGTAGAAACTGTGTGACCTATTCAATCAAATGACTATAGCATAGTTCCAAGCAGTTCCAACGTTGAGTTTCATCTCTGTAGAGTTACACAGTTTTATGGTGGCCATTGGCAAAAGCTAAACTCTAATGGTAGCCAAGGTTTTGTCTGACAATTAGATGTCAATTAATTGCATGAAAGACTATTGATGGGTTATTTATAAATTCACCTTTATCCCTGGAAAAAGAATCAAAACATACAACCTCTTAATGGTGGGTTAATGTCAAAACGTATGACTATCATTATTACAAAGAAGAAAAGCAGCATTTCTAGGAATTTGAATTTTTTCTGATTAATAATTTTCTGTGTCACAATTTAGCATTAGGAAAAATGTAAAAAACATGTTACTTATTTTTTAATTACTAAATTTTGCCTAACAATTTAAATATGTCCTTGTGAAATCATTTTTCTGGAAAAGGAGATTAGGTTGCATTAATCTAAACACTGTGAATAGTGGCTACTAGGTGAAAGAAATACTTGTATAATATTTTACATCAGGGTATGGAAGTGTATAATAGTCTCTTGTTTTATTTATTTATAATTTGACATTCCTATTGTCTAAATTTTTAGATGCAAAATATACCTATTTATTTCTAAATATTATTATGTTGGTGTCCACAAATCAGATTTATTTTTCTTAAGATCTAATAATGCAAACTTAGGTATGCTCGAAATATTAGATTCACAGAATAACTGCATTACTCCTTATTATAAAATTTTACTCCTTGTTAAGTTATTATCCATTACAATGAAATGTTTTGAAATGAAGAACATTTTAGCAGAGACAACACAGTGCTAACACATTGTATGCGTAGTCAATGTAGAAACTAATCAACACCTTGTAAAACAGTTATTATTTCTTGTTGCAAACAATCATGGTAAAGAAAAAAAACGTGTGTGGGGAGAGAGCAGGAACACCACCAACCAGTACATACCAGAAAATGCATTATTCACAGGTGCCAGCAAAGTGTATTCTCCATCCGGCCTCAGAGCAGATGCCAAGCCTAACTGGGCCACGAGGTCTGTGAAAGTGGTTTGCTGATTTCCAGCCAGCTCAATAACTTGTTTGGCTGCAACATAAACCATCATCATCCAAACAATGTCATCATTGCTATTATCTTCATTACAAAATTAGTAAATCAATTCTTGGCTATTCCTAATATTGTAAGCTATTTACTGGAATGTCAGTATGATAAGACACGCTGCCCTTCCCTTGGAAGACAGTTCCAGCTTTCATTTTTGGGGGTTGATAACCATGAAAAATTTCAGAAGGAAAATATTTTTCTGTCTTCCTACTTAACAGTTTTCTTTAAGTCTCTGTTGCTCCTCTCATCTCTCTCCACCCTGTGTGTGTCATAGCTTTCATTTACCCAAAGACATTTAGTTATGTCTTTTCTTCTGTTTTCAAGAAAAACGGGCACTGTGAGAACCTTTATAAATATGAGATGTTAGAAACGCCGGAAAGCCAAAGTTCCATGAGTGGCCATAACAACTGGCCACTATTTAGTACTTAGCTCACTGTTTATGGGGTTTGTGATTCACGTGCCATTCTTTTCACTGCACATTCATTTTTTCATGGACTTACTCTTGGGAACACCATAACTGGTAAATAATAGTACATGAAAAATATGAACTGTTGCTCACCAGAATCAGGAATTAGGACCCGATCGATCAGATGGATCACACCGTTATTTGTCACAATATCTTTTTTGTTCACCATTTTGATTCCGTTTACTGTTATGCTGTCGCCATCACATCCTATCTCAATCGTGTTTCCTTCTAGAGTCTCAAAGACCGCTCCTCCCATGATAGCCTCAGAACACTGGAGCGTGTTTAAGATGTGGTACTTCATGAGAGCTGGAGGACGAAATAAAAAGA